ATGTGATCCTTAGACTTGAGATCACCGGAACGCCTTGTACACCGATTGGTGCAGTTTGACACTAGCCTAACGCAGTTCTATTCAGAGCTGTCAATACGGTGGTGATTGGCTGCATCAAGGAGTGTATCAAGACTATGATGGATTGACAGAGGATTCATCACTCTCGGGTACGGGAGAAGTTATCTCATGACACAATTCAATATATGGCAATGACATTAAACTGTGGCCACAGTGGGATTTAGTTGTTGCTCTATCCAGTTTATAATACAGGTCATTGGTCTAGAAACTGAATACATAATATCGAGAGTAACTGGAGGTTGACACTATTTCTATGCCTTCATCTCGTTGAGATAACGAATGATGAAAAGATCGAATTGTACGGTAACCATATCGTTGACAGGTAGCTACTTTGCTGAATTCGAATCTATCGGGTGGCCATGATGCCTTGCTAGGGGCCAATCTTGGTCTGTGTATTAGTGAGACGATTAATTGGTGTTAATCGCGATACTATACACTGCCGGTATGATGAGGAGCCTATGGGTCACACACATAGAAGATAATTTAAGATCCAAGAAGAAAGAAGGGCGTTTTCGTCTTTTTAGGCGAAAGGGTATTTTGGTAATTTCACAGTGCAATTAAATTTGCTGAGGTCGTAGCCTTTTATTTAATTTGTTAAAAAATTAAATAAGTGAAATTACGGTTAAATGTGTGTTCGCACATATTTAATTAAATCATCATTATTGTTAAATGTTAATTAAATATTAATTGATTTTAATTAAGATAATGATGAATTAAATTAAAATATCAAATTGGGAGTGTTTGGCAACATGGGGTGTTTGGGTTGGAGCCCAAGCCCATTCCATGTGGGAATAGGGCAACTTGGTTTGCCTATAAAAAGAATAGTGTGTGATTCATTCTTTAATTTTTAAAGAAAACACAGCAGCCCCTTATACACTCTCTCACGCCAATCTCACTGTTTGATTGAAAAATCAAATACTGATCTTCTTCTTGATTTCTTAAGGCCAAGGAGGATCTAGCAAATCCCTCCTTGGTTCCTTATGATTGTCTTTGTGTGGACTTCTATAGTTCGATCCTACACTTGGATTGGTAACAAATACGTTCAGAGACAATATTGGTGGAGCCTCCAACGGGGGTATGAATCTAAACTCATGTTTATTTTTCTGCAGATTCTTGTAATATATATAAACTGTAATTTCTGTGCCCTGATTTTGGGTTCTAAGGAACGATCCATTGTTGTAAAATTTTTTTATTTTCCGCTGCGCAACCGGGTCGTTTCCTAACAATTCTTACCATCACCATAAGTAACATATCCACTATCAACTAATTCAAGTTTAGACAAAAGAGATTTATTTCCTATCATATGTCTAGAACAACCACTATCCAAATACCAAAGATCATTTTGAAATGCAAGCAAGCAGGTATGAGACACAAGGCAGTTCACATCAGACTTGGGTTTCCAAATTTTTTTTTGGAAGAAAAACCATTTTTAGCATGAGTACTCACATTGGAAGACAAGTTATGGTTTTCAAGAACTCTTTTCAAATATACAATGAACTTGAAGCATTTAGGTCTGATGTGACCTTTTCTATTACAAAAGTGACAAATAGGAATGAATTTCATTACCTTCATTGCTTGTCTTATAGCGGCAACCTTAGCAGGAGTTTTGGTAGCTCTAACAAACGTGCATGCACTAGAAGTTGTTGTGTTAGCACCAGGACTAAAGCCCACCATACTGGATCTCTGAAGGATTTTCTTTGACCAAGGACTTCATCAAGTTTGAGAGAACCTGCATTTAACTTATCAATAATGGCCTCAGCCTCAGTTAGTTCAGTAGTGAGAACAAGAATCTTTTCAGACAAGGCTTTCTTTTGCTTCAACAAGGTAGCATTCTCAATACCAAGAGATTGCAACTTCTTCATGGCCTTTAGCCATTGGTCATACATCTTATCATAAGCTTCTTGTTGTTTAACATAAATGTCAATAGTGTCATCTAAACACTCACTCTTACCACCTTCTTGATTCACGGTGAAGGCAAGAACATTTTCATCATCACCCGAATCATCTTCATCACTCTCATCTTGCTCATTCTCACTCAAAGTAGCAGCCATGGCCTTACCTTTCTTCCTTTTCAATGTCTTAACACACTCAGATTGTATATGCCTAAAGCTCTCACATTCAAAACACTTGATGCCTTTATTTTTCTTTTCTCTATCTTTTAGAAATCTTTTTGAAAAGGCATTGGGGGTTTGATGATCATAAGACTTTTTCACAAAAGGTTTTCGGCCATTTCCACTATCAAAAGGCTTTTTCATGTTTTTCTTAAGAAACTTAGCAAAGTTTTTTTGTAAGTAAAGCACAATTTTCATCATCCAAGGAATTAAAATCACAATCATCAAAAGGATCAAAATCAACCTCATGTTTGAGAGCAAACCTTTGCTCGATTTTTTGTTTATCCTATCGTTTCAGGTTCAGTTCATAGGTTTGGAGAGAGCAAATGAGTTCATCAATGTACATGGCATCCACATCACGACATTCTTTTATGGTGGTCACTTTTGACATAAACCTTCGAGGTAGAGAGAAAAAAACCTTCCTGACAAGTTCAGCATTAGAATATGTTCTTCCCAAAGCAAAACATTCATTAGAAATATCACAAACTCTATCATAAAAGTCATTTATAGTCTCATCATCATCCATGTTCAGATTTCAATATCAGTCACAAGTCTTCTAAGTCTATTTCATTTAACAGTACTAGTTCCTTCATTTTTTACTTGGAGCATATTCCAAGCATCCTTAGCAAGCTCACAATTAGCTATGACTTTCATTTTGTTCACAGTAACAGCATTGAAAAGAGCATGAATGACTTTAGAGTTATAATTTACAAGAGTTAACTCATTAGCAGTCCAACTAGCAACCGATTTTGGTCTAGACACTTCATTTTCAACAATAACTAGGGTTGTCCAACTATTCACAACTATGGACCAAACTCTTTCATCTATAAACTTAAGAAAAGCACGCATCCTATGTCTCCATGTATAGCAGTTTGGACCTTCTAACAAAGGTTGTCTATGAGCATATCCTCTTTTAGTAAAGAAACTCATGACGAAAAACAATCAAATAGATGCTAACACAGCAAACAGAAATGCACACATAGACACGCATCAGATCTAAAACAAAATGCAACAACAAATCAGATTTCGTCCAAACACAAGACCAATCAGATTCACACAAAAACAAGCAAAATGGGTAAGGATCAATTGAAGCAACTTATTAGAACAAGCTCTGATACCACTTGTTAGAGTTGGTGAACTCTAGATAGCATTTAGGTACTCATTTGTAAAGTGCAGCGGAAGTTTTTACCAAGTTGATTAATGGTTATCAAGTTAAGCATGAATCAACATACATAAACAACAAAAGTAAAGCACACCAGCATATGCATGTTCGGCTAAAACCACTCTTAGCCTACATCCATGGGACCTCATCTAGATCGAAGCAAATCCACTAAACAACAAACATTACAAGATATAGTTCAAAGTTGATTTTAGCTACAGCAAAGAGAACTCCCTGTTCTAGTTACACTAAACACCACCCTCTGAATCTTTACTGTCTTGTCGCTCTTAGTATCTCTTCACACTGGGAACACACCTGAAGAACGCTTGAGCTCCACGTAAGCTTTACATGCCAAAGCAATGCTCTAGCATCAACAATGGAACCAAGTTCCATCAGCCATTCAACAAGGATAAGATATGGTGAAGGTTTGGCACAATAACATATGGTGAACCTTTGAGCAAAAATACTCTTTGAAAATTTTAGAGCACAAGCATATAAAATATCGAAGGTTAGCTTTACAAATGAGCAAGAATGAAGATGATATAGACCAATTTCGTACTCCCCAATTCTTGCCAAGTCAGCAAACAAAGGCTGACATATGTTGGTCCAAAAAGGGAAAAGATTCCATCTACCTTTTGGGACCACAACCAAAAAGGGAAAAAACTTATATCCCTAGAGCACAAGAGGATATTGGGACACTTGTAGGTGGTCCTCATGACAACACAACAGATGAACAAAAAATATCTCAACTGGTAAAGATAAAAAAAATGCAACTTGTGAAAAATAAGTCAAACATGCGATGTTAGCGAAAAGTATGCACACACACAAAGTAAAATACGAAATGAAATGCAACATGCATATGTCTTACATAAGTGTGCAAGCACATATCCATTGTGCACACACATAAAATGAAAAAGCAAAAGGCATAAGCCTGACATAGCTGAACAAGTTTATATTGTAAGTTCCCACATCATCCATGTGATATGTTTTTAATTATTTAATTTAGACATATATTTATGTGACTAATTATGTGATTAATTATATATAAAAAATAATTTACTTTACATGAGTTTAGGGGTGAAATGGAGCCGAGTCGAGTCAAGTATCTGGGTAATCGAACTCGACTCGAGTACTATAGTGCCAAATTTGAGCCTGATTGAGGCCGAGGAATCGAGTTCGAGTTCAAGTTCGAACTTGAACTCGATACCTGAAATTGGAATTCGAGTTCATATAATCGAGTTTTAGTCGAGCTGTAATCCAGTTTTATACGAGCCATAATCGAGTTCCATTATTCGACTTTAATTGAGTTCCATTATTCGACTTTAATCGAGTTCAAGTAATNACTTGAGGTAATTAACAAAGATTTTGTTTGATATCATTTGTGTTAAATGAGTTTTACATTATCACTGGGTTCACAAATAAAGAGATGTCAAATACACAATAAAGATAAATTTAATATTAATTACCATTTTTCAATAGTAATATTTGAAAATGAAAGTAGGGAAAATATGTTAATTAATTATAACAGTAAAGAATCAGTTTTATAACAAATAATTAATTTTACATTTAATATGTGTAAAATAAATGAAAGTAACAATTTAATATTGAACTAGTACATTCAGGATTGCAGTATCTATATTTAAAAAAAAAAAAAAAAAAAAAAGTCATTGAACAATAACAATCATGTAAAAAGTGGCTATATCATGTTTCAAACATTTTCCTTTTCCTCATTTCTTCAATCCTAAATTATTTCCATCGAGGCCACTTAAATTGCCCCAAATTCAATATTGGGCGTGATGGTGGAGGTGGGATCTAGCTCTGGATGTCGCCATATCTTGCATAGTCCCCTGCAGTCTGGAGAGTCTTAATGAAATTTAAAATAATACTAACTAATCTAGACTTCAAGCTCAATATGGAAGCCATGAATGCTGTCAATTGTCAAATATTATTATACAGAAAGAAACAATAGACATGTTACAAGATCGGATCAAAAAATCTTAAACTTGTGCATCCAAGAATCATCATCATACTCAACCTGTTTGTGAAGAGCTTGTTCCTGATAATGCCTTTCATAGTTATAGATTGGATCTCAATAACTACCTCCTTCATCCCTGTTTTCGCCATACGGATTTGAACTTCCAAAAAGATAATCTGCAGTTTCTTTCCACAGGTTGCTGCTGCTTTCTTCATTAAAAACTTGTTGACAATCATGGCCTCTCTTGTTATTCCTAGCTAAACAAGGCCAATAACCAAATATGCTTTCACAAAGGTCCATTGCTTCCAAGCCATACCCGGATGGAGTTTGAGTTACTCGTGTGTCGTATTCATAGCTATTTCCTTCGTTTGATCGGTTTCCATTGTTAGGCCTGGCAGGGTTATCTTCACAATTATTTTCATGACCATCTTCTCCGGTGGAACTGCCGTGAGTATTGTCATACTCTTTGTTTTGTCCATCTCCTTTGCTAGCCTGCAGCGTATCTTCATTGGTTGGAGCTTGTTTACTTTCAATATGAGGTTTTGCTGCAGACTCGTCGACATCTTTCTTCCCGTAAGGAGACTCTATGGATCCAAGATTGACACCGTTCGAAGGCAAAACACTTGAATCTGACATCGAACGAGGATAACATAGATTATCTGAGGGCGGAAGGGGTTTGCCATACGTTTGAGTAATATCATAACCTCCACAATAAGGTGTTGGATCATATTCTTCAAATTCAGTATCATCAAACTCTGAATTTGAGATAGAGTAAGAGACTCTACTATGAGTAACAGAAGGATTGTAATCGCCATGGTAAAGATCATACACGATGGATTTTGGCTCACAGAATGTGGATACAGAGTATGCAATTGCTGAGTGGTTCACAGAAGGATAAGAAGCATCATAATAAGGAGTGGGATTGTACTGAAAGAAGTTTTGGTTGCTGAATTCATGGCTAGAATCAGCAATTACTGAGTGGTTCATAGAAAGATAATAGGCATCATAATAAGAGGTGGGATTGTACTCAAAGAAGTTTTGGTTGCTGAATTCTTGGCTGGAATCGGCCATTAAAACTTGCGATGGAACATTATCATAATTTCTACTATAGGGAATTTGATAACTCTCACCCAGATAAGAATGATGATAATCGGCGCTGGAGTAAGCCATATTATGCAATCATCGATTCCCTGTCTTTATAGAACATAGACCTCCATAAGAACATCAAAGTAAATACAGAAAAAGAATCTAAAATCAAAGATAATAGATTCAACCTTCTGATTCTTCTCTCCGTCCTTTAAATTTCCATCCATGTATCAGTATCATTATCTCTGCCACACAGTTTTTATCTTTAAAAAAGGAGTGCTAGAATACATGTGAGGAAAATGTCATATTTTGTTTGGATAAGTGGCCTTAGATTTTTCTTAATTGCAATCAACTACATATTGGACTATTGCCAATACCTAGGCCCTTCAGTGACGACAAGAAATTTCCAAGTCACATGATGGCTAAAGCAATTTCTCCCAAATGGCTGAAATGAAGGTGACAGAAAGAGAATCTAAAAAGTTTCCTTGCACAAACTTTGTTAAAGAGTTACTTGCACGCCACACTCTTGTTGTCTAGTCGGCATCACGGCCCTACAGATGAAAAAAGGTATTATATACATTGAAGATATGGTTTTAACTGTTAGAGACGATGGCGTTTGGATAATCACATTGTGACTCAGCCAGTTGAATCATTTTACATATGTTTCATGTGGACATTTCAAAGATTGGAAAGAAGATACCACTGCTTTGTAAGTAGAAAAAAAATAAAAGATCCAACATTCTAGCCTATTTACAAAGATGAGCATCTTTCACTGTTTTCAGGAGCTATTTGTACCTTTCCTGCGTTAGCGAGTCTCCGCAAATATCAATCGATGCGCTTTTTTATTTAGTGCGAATTATAATGCTTCTGATGTATAAATTAATGTCACTTTTCATTTTCTGATTCCTCTATCTAAATTGTTGTCCAATGGAATCAACGATATATTTTACTATTAACTAAACGCCAATTCTAACAAGGTTAGCATTTATTATGGTAATTGATCAACCTCAATCAATTGGTTAGCACAACAGTCCCATTAATTCTAAAGGGACACAGAAATTGCTTTTGAGAACTTGACATACATGTTTTTCACTTTTTTCAAACGGGAATATATATATACCATTCCTGGAAGTAGAACGGGAAACGGCTTACTTGGATTGAAGAACGAGCGTTCGTCTAGATGGAACGGGCGTTCTAAATTTGTCTGGAAGTTTCCCTAATTTGGGAAAAATGATGAACGACCTGGGGAACGGTGTCGTTCATGCCTAGAAAGATTTGCCTGAGGATAGGAACGGGTGTCCCATGATTTACAAAATGGGTTAATGTCAGTTTCCGAAATATTATGTCAGGGTCCAAATTGAAAAGATGTGATACATTTGGACTGTCTGAAAGGGACGACAAATACGGGGGACATTCTGTTATGAAATGATGAGGTGTTTGGGGGTAATACGAGATTTTTTGAAAATTTAGGGGGCAAATAAAATTTTGCAAGTCAACTCCTTTATATTAAGTTAGGGCCGACCGAGAGAAGATAAGAGAAAGAAAAGAAGAAGAAGAAGAAAGGAGAGAAAGGAAGGAAAAGAGAGAAAGAAGAAGGAAGAAAGGAGGAAGAAAAAGGAGGAAAAGGGTTTGGATCGGCCGAAAGAGTGAGTAAAATGTGAAATCCAACATCTATTTGCGTGAGTAAGCCTTAGAATTAGAGTTTTACTTCAGTCCTCCCCTTCATCCACTTATTTTTAGGGTTCTAAGCCAACTATTCTCTAAATTTGGCTCAACAGGAGAAGAAGAAGATCTTAGGGAAGATTCACACCAGTTGGGTTGAGCTTCAAAAGTTGTGAGCGGGAAAAACCTAATCCTTAATTTTATCATAGCAAAAGTTATCCTTAATAATGCTTTCATTTGCTTTATAATTATATTTAGAAATGTAAAGCATGTTATTGGTTAATTAATTTGTTAAAAGGTTGAATTGTTGATTTGCATAAATGGATTGAATTTTGATGCTTTTGGCAAAACGTTTGATAGGGAAATGAAAATGGGTTGAGATTGTTAATTTTGAGAATATGTTTATAAAACTTGCATTTTCACCCTTATATTTCAGGAGATATTATCATATTCTTTGAAATGAAGAAAGGCATAGATTTTATGAAAAAGTATATGTTTATGAGAAAGACAATATAAAGATGATAGCGGTTTTTTAAACCGAATAATACTACACATACATCATTCCCATACAACATTTCTCATACAACATTATGTGGCAAGACGTGATTGGGTGAAAGTTTAATTTTAACTTTAAATTAGCCAATCATATCTTGCCACATAATGTTGTATGAGAAATATTGTATGAAAATGATGTATATGTAGTATTACTCCCAAACCACCCTATGAAGTATCCATCCCCTCAAGATACAGTTACGAATTCAGTTTATGGCTTTGTGCATGCACATGATAGTTTTCAATGCTCTATCTAAGTGATGCAAATTCCACTAGGTATGACAGATTCAATTGCTTTGCCCGCGCGATGATAGAGCTTGTCATGTATGACAAATTTTCCCCTTTAGCCTCTGTGTGGGACGCCCACTAGGTAGAACAGCTTCCCCTGTGTGGTGACACTTTTCAGTATCAGATTGAGATTATGGTATCAGAATCAACTTTTAGTTTAAAGAATAAGAATTAGTACTCAATTTACAATATTTAGAGCAGCTATTAGTATCCAAGGATATTGACTTTGTAGTTGCAATCATTCGACATGAATATTCGAGATGCTCTAATTGATCTCAATGATACCACTCCAATCATAGTTTTTTTTTTATTGAGTAATGTTACAGTTACCGAAGGATGTGCACCGAATGACATGGCGAAATCATGACCGTTGATTCATTATAAGTTAATATTAATTGACAGTCAGGATTTTGTCACGTCATTCGGTGCACGAATTCGGTGTGTAATTTTCGATAACTCTATCATTTTCCTTTTTTATTCAACTAGGTACATATGTGTCTAAGCAACCACCTAGGTTAGACTACAAGGGGTTTGTCATCAATTTAATGTAAAAACACTCAAAACATGTATATATATTCATATCATATCTATCATATACATGTTCATATAATATTCACATATACATTCATGGAATTTGTGGAAGCTAAATAACTTTATCGCTAACCTCCAGCCATAACAATTTGTTGTTGCTATCTTCTTCAAAGATTACAGGTTCTTTCAATGCATTGCAATTTTCTCAGAATGATGGTTTTGGGAATATCAGAATTAACTGCATGCATTGGGGACCTGTAATTGTTCCCATTTTAAAGCACCCAAAAGTCTTTTCATCAAAGACACTGTTGAGGATAACTGCTCAACTGCTAAGAAACGGCTCAACAGCTAATTATTTTATAAAATTAATATATAAAAGTGCAGGACCAAATAGTAATTTTAGTCAATGAATTTTAATGAATTACACAATCCACAACATAGAGTTGTATATTCTTTATGTTTAATTAGAAAAATAGAATTGCATGAACCATAGCGATAAGTCCATTTTAAACAAGTATTACCTTCCATGTATTACTATGCAATTTTTCTCTTTCTAAATAAATGCTTAAATGTGAAATATTACTTTAGATTGTTTTCTCTTTTAAGTTGTTCCAAGTCCTCTAGAATGTTTGTTATTCTCCAACTAAAATGTATACAACTTAAAAGAGAAAATAATCTAAATTACAAAGTTTTAGAGAATGAAAGTATTACCTCTCAAAGTGACAAAGTAGGACGTAATCCCATTTGAACTACATGATCCTTGAACGTCTTTGGTGGCATGCCTTTTGTCAGAGAATCAACAATCATCTGCTCGATATGTATGTGTTTAATGAGCACTTCTTTGGCTTTAATGTGCTCCCTTATTGCTAAGTACTTAATGTCGATGTGTTTATTTCGACTTCCACTCTTATTGTTCTTAGCAAAAAACACAACAGCTGAATTTTCACAATACAACCTTTTTAGCCTAGAGACAGACTCAACAACTCCAAGCCCAAAAATTAAACTTCACAACCAAATACCCTGTGTAGTAGCCTCAAAATAGGAAATAAGCTTAACTTCCATGGTAGAAGTGGAAACCAAAGATTTGTTTGGAACTTCTCTAAGATATACCACCTCTAGCTAACATAAAAACATATCCGGATGTTGATTTTTGAGAGTCAACACATCCAGCAAAGTTTGAGTCTGAATATTTGATGACTTCTAAAATGTCGGACTGTATATATGTAAGCATGAAACCTTTAGTTCATTGAAGATACCTCATGACCTTCTTTGCAACTCTTCAATGATCTAAACCTGGATTACTTTGATATCTTCCTAACATGTCAACTGTAAAAGCACTGTTAGGTCTAGTATGGACCTAAGCACACATTAGGCTTCCAATAGCCGAAACATAAGGAATGTTCTTCATTTGTTCTTTTTCAATCTCAAGTGTGGGACATTGGTTCATATTGAACCTGTCACCCTTAACAATGGATGCAACACTGGGTGAACAATCCTTCATCCTAAATCTCTCAAGAATTTTAGGCTTCCTAAAATAGTCCTAAAACATGCTAAGACCTATCCCTATGAATCTTAATGCCAATGACATAAGACCCCTCACACATATCCTTCATACTAAAGTGTTGAGAGAGAAATTGTTTCATCTCATGCAACAAACCCAAATCATTGGTTACAAGTAGAATATCATCTACATATAACACAAGAAAGATGATTTTACTCCCATTGACCTTGTGGTATATACACTGATCCATAACATTCTCTACAAAATCAAATAAAGAGATAATATTGTGAAATCTAAATACCACAGTCGGAAGGCTTGTTTAAGTCCATAAATGGACTTCTTAAGCTTGCAAGCCAAATGCTTACCATCACTTGAAATGAACCCATCAAGTTGTTTCATATAAATCTTTTCCTCCAAATCTCCATTGAGGAAAACTGGTTTCATATCCATTTGATGCAAATCTAAATCGAAATGGGCAACTAATGCCATGATGATGCGGAAGGAATCCTTTTTAGAAACTGGAGAAAATGTCTCTTTATAATCAATCTCTTCCCTTTGTTTGAACCCCTTGATAACAAGCCTAGCCTTGTATCTCTCAATGTTGCCTAATGAATCCCTTTTGATTTTAAATACCCATGTACAACCAATAGGTTTCTTTCCAGTAGGCAACTCAACAAGATCCCAAACTTTATTATCTGCCATAGAATTTATCTCATCAATCATGGCATTATACCACAACTGAGATTTACTATTGTCCATAGCTTGTGAAAACGTGTCTAGGTCATCTTCAACACCTATGTCATAGTCAGGCTCTTGTAGATACACTACATAATCATCAGGAATT